AAAAAAAGGGTAGATTTAGAAAGAGTAAGTGGAGAGCTCTGAACTTAAGTAGCAGTTTAACAGTTGTGAATATTTTTAGGGAGACCTGGTAAGAAGTAGTAAAAACAATATTCAGTTTTAAAAAACTTTAATTTTATATGAAAGTTTATATTGTATATATCTGGGTCAGCATCCACTGTAGTGTATTTTTTGGGTTTATTTTTTGGTTTATTAATTTCTCTTCATTTTTGTACTATTTTTTTAAGCCTCCTTGAAATCAGTCTGTCTGTATTTTATCCTTTACATTTCAAGTTATCTTTTAAAACATAGACTTTTTAAACATACTTTGTCATAAATTATTGTTCTTAGAAATGTTAAATGGATTCCCAATACTTTTCAGTATAAACTGCTTGCATTGGCATGTATGGATCTTTATAACCTAGCTGTGCTTCACTTGCAAAAAGAGTGACCTTTCTTTTGTTTTCAGCCAGTTCTCAAATAACTTAGAAACATACCGGAGATTATTTGTCCTTTTCTGACTATTCCTATTTTATACTTAAAAAGGTTTTGTTTGTTTTTTTTTCCTTTGGGGTAGTTGGAAAAGAGTGGACTTTAAAGTTGGACACACATGAACTTTAATCTCAGTACCAATCTATTTTATCTGTGATCCAGTGGGGAAATAATTTATCCTTTCTGAATTGATTTTCTTGTCTACAAAAGGAAAAGGAAAAATAGCTGCACTATCATAGATTGAATTACACTTTCCCAAAATATCATGATGTAAAGATCCCTATAATCTAATAAACCAAACAGTTGTTAGATTAAGGGTGTGGGATATTACACCCTTAAGATGGCCTACTCGTAAGAAGCTGCACTGCAATCCCGAAAGTATGCGGTTCGAATCCACTAGTTGCTCCATGGGAGAAAGATCGTACTGTTAAAACTGCCTCTGAGGGTCTCATAAAGGGTCAGCTGTGGGCCAGTTGGAATGCGACAGTACACAAAAACAACAACCCCATAACAGCCCTCTTTAATATACAAAGATTGTCCCTGCACTGTGACGTGTAACAGCTTTTATTTTACAAGAGAGAAAAGGCAAGAAAAGCAAGAAGAAAAGTAGACCTCAGTAACACAAAGAAAGCATTACTAGGGATGCAGTACATCCTTGAGACCCACAGGTCTATTGTGGGAAGCTCCACAAAACAGAAGAAAATTAAAAAGACATTCATATAGTCAAAAAACACATGAAGACATGCTTAAGATCTCTTACTATTGTTGTTATGTGCTGTTTAGTTGCCAGTGACTCATAGTAACCCTCTGTACAACAGGTCTGAAGCCTGTCCTGTCCTGAGCAACTCTCACTGACTGACACACCTATCCCCATTCCCCCAATTACTATATCAGTCCATCTCATCCAAGGTCTTCCTCTCCTGTGCCACCCCTCCACCATTCCAAGCATGCTATCCTTCTCCAGAGACCAATCCCCTCTGGCCATGTTCCCAAAGTAGGTGAGATGGAGCTTCAGAATCCTGGCTTCCATGGAGAAACTTGGCTTCACTCTCTCTAAGGCAGATCTCTTTGTTTTCTTGGCTGTCCATCGTATGTTCAAAACTTCTCCAGCACCACAAATCAAAGGCATCAATTCTTCTGTAATCTTTAGTCATTTAGAGAGCTACAAATCAAAACAACAGTGAAATGTCTTCATCGGTGAAATGTTTCACCCTAGCAACAATAGCAGAGTTCAACAGAAGAGCAAACAACAAATGTTGGCAAGAATCCGGAGGGATTAGCACTGTTGTACACTGCAATGAGACTATAAAAATGGTACAACCACTATGAAAGGCAATTTGATGTTTACTCAGAAAGTTGAAAGTAGAAATACTATTTGATCCAGCTATTCTGCTACTGGACTATATCCTAAAACAGAGCTGAGACACAAACAAATGTATATTATTCACAATAGCAAAGAGCAAAAAGATGGAAGCAGTCCAAGTGTCTTAACAAATTAATGACTATAGAGACGCATATAGTCACACAATGGAGTATTATGCAACATTGAAAAACAATGAAGAACTTGTGAAACAATACACAACATTAATAAATCCAGTGGACATTATGCGAAGTGGAATAACTCGGTCATAAAAAGGACAAATGCTTTGTATTTGTTTATGTTGTTTTTGTGTACTGTCGAGTTGGAGCTAAGCTGGCAGATTTGAACCATAGGCCTTTGGGATTACAGTGCAGTTTCTTTCCATTAGGTCAACAGCTCCCTGGTATATTTATTTATTTATACACACACACACACACACACACACAGATGTTTATGTGTATATATGTATGTAGATGGTTATGTATATATATATAAATAAATATGTAGATGTTTATTTATATATAGTATGTATAGGGAACTCTAGTGGCTTAGTGGCAAGAAGCTGTGTTGTAATCCTGAAGACACAGTATGGGCAGTCTCCTCCCATACAATTAACTACCTCTGAAAACCTCCTGAAGAGACAGCTATGGCTTGGTTCCAACTCAGCAGTACACAACATGAACATAGTATAGGACATGTAGGAGCTCTGGTAGCCCAGTGGTAAGGAGTTACCTTGCCAACTTAGAAGCACATGGTTCAAATCCACCAGCTGCTCCATGGGAGAAAGATATACTATCTCCTCCTGTGCAGTTTATAGATCAGCTATGACTTGATTCTAACTCAACAGCACACAGCAACAACAACATAAATCTAATATAATTACACATATAAACATATATGTATGTTTTTGTTGTTATTATGTGTAGTCAAATCACTTGTGACTCATAGTGACCCTGTGTACAGTATCTCTGAACCCTGTCTTATCTTGAGCCAATATTACTGTCTCTGACACACCTACATGCTTTAACACAGTCACTGTGTCAATCCAGGTCATCTAGGATTTTTTCCTCTCTTCTGCATTCCCTCCACCCTTCCAAGCATGATATCCTTCTCCAGGAACAAGCCCCTCCTGGCATTATGTCCAAAGTCTGTCTGATGGAGTGTAAGAATTCTTGCCTTCAAGAAGCAGCTTGGTTTCACCTTCTCCAGGACAAATGTGTTTTTTCTTTTTTGTGTTGCATGGTATGTTCAGTACTATTCTCCAGTACCACAATTTAAAGGCATTGATTAAAAAAAAAAAATTATAAATTTCAATGAAAATTTTCCGAAACTTTGGATTTCCATTCATTCATTGTTACACTTTTCTCCCTCCCAACCCTCCCCCCACTACACTGTTGTTGTTGTTGTTGTTATGTGCCATCGAGTTGCTTGCGACTCATAGCGACCCTATGTACAGCAGCCCTAAACTTCGTTCTGTCCTGTGCCAATCGCACTGTCTCTGACACTCCCATCCCAATTATCCCACTCACTGAATCAATCCACCTCATAGAGAGCCTTCCTCTCCTGCGCTGTCCCTCCACCCTCTGAAGCATGATCTCCCTCTCCAGGGACCGGTCCCTCCTCACAACATGTCCAAAGTATGTTAGACGGAGCCTCAGAATCTTTGCCTCCAAGGATCCACCCGGTTTAACCCTT